AAATACAGCAGAACTTATAAAAGTGAGAGACCCTGTGACTGGTGGGGCACTTTGTGACCATTTTGGATTCTTCTGGAGTGTAGCCCTGGCTAGTTTCTTGTGCTGCCCAAGGTGTATCCATTGAGGCCTCCTAATAAATCCCTGCTTTATTCTTTAACTCTGTCTAGTCTCTGTTCTAGGTCAGCCTTCACCATGCATCAACATGAATGAACACTTTCCCTATTCTGTGAGGTTTCAGTGCAAAAATCTCTCTCTCCATTCATCTCCCTCCTGCCTCCCCCTTCCCCACCCCCTGCTGCTCAGGGAGACCCAGGGACAGGACTATTGGCAGTAAACTCAGCTCCACAAAACAGGCTGGGGAAAAAAGCGAAACAAAACACCATCACTTCCTATTTCTTTCTCTTCCCTCTGCATCAAAGCCCAGGCTGGCTGTCAGGAATGTTCAAAATGAATAAATAAAGCACAAGAACCTCCCCCTGCTTCAGGAGGTATCTCATCCACTCACCATGAAGCTTGGCCAATTCCTTGTCTGACAGTACTCGAGTCAGCAGGCAGAGCAAGAAGATCATTCAAAGCTAATCAGTAAAGTGTAAACCTATTATGAAAGCACATTTACCCCTTGCTGCCTCCTCCCTCCCAAAAACCAATCCCCAAATCTGTGGGAATAACACACAGCCTCCATAAAAGTTGCTAGTACTTAGATCCCCCATTATTAGGTCAGCAATGGCACTGATTAAATGCTCCCCAGAGCTCTGAGCAGTGGTGGATAAATCCTGCCAGAAATTCATGGAGTAATTTGTTACAGCTCGAGGGCATGAGGCACAGCAGAGCCCGTGCATGAGGCTCTCCCCTGTGATTCTGGAGGCCATCTCTGGTAATAAAAACCTCATCTTGATTTCTCATCCTTTGTATTGATTTCTGTCAGAAAAGACTTGTCTTAGAGAAAGATGCTGCTGTATTTATCTGGATAATAAAGGAATCATTCTCCCCTTTTCTGCCCATCCCTTTTTGAAATTCATTTTAGGGATGACTCTAACAAGACTCGTTATTTGGGAACTGGTTTATTCACAGTGGGTAAAGACTTGAGAAGATGATGACTGGCTTTGCATATTCAGCACAAAACCCTAAATGTGAAATTACAGAAAAATGGGTTTGGAAAGGAAATCGGAGCTAAAACCTCATATCTGCTATATCTTTATATGAAACTCTGTTATTAATTGAATGGATGGAATGTGTGGGACTCAAGTGACTACCATCCAGACTCAGATCTATATAATCCTTGCAACTGCTAATTTTGGATCATTTGTACTCCTGCTATTGTAAAAAAAATAAAAGAAGGGCAGGTCTGTAGGTAAACTGCATGATGTTTATGAAGCTTTCATAAACAATTATCTTTCTTTTCTAGTATGGCTGGACAAGGCAACATGGAAATCTGGAAGGCTTTATGTGAAAAATTTGCAAGCCAAAAAAGAGCAGCTCCACAGAAGTCAATCCAGGTAATTTGAAAGATGGATGGTAAGGCTGAAAAACGCAATGTTATATCAAAATTATTTTATCTTCTCTGCAGTAGGCTTGATATAAGCAACTGGAACAATTTCATTTAGTCTATTCCTTTGGGTTTTGCTTTCCTTGGCTTTTTTAGAACCTCTCTTCCTAAGAAGCTGCTTTGGGTCTTGAAATGACTAAAGTTGTTCCCTTGTGCAATGAAAGTGATAAATATTTACAGCAGTTATTACAAGCTGAGAATTTTAATATATACTTATTTCTTTTGTAATCTAAGAGTAACTGTGCTGAAAGACAATACCTGCTAATTGTATTTTTTATCACAGTCTTGTCAGAGTGAAGGATAAAATATGCAAGTTTGGGTTTGTTTTCTACTCCATACAGCAAAATTTATTCAAAAGAGTCTTTGTTCCCCTTTATCTGTTTATTTAATAGACTATAAAAAATGGTAAACTCAGTCAAAAAGCATAGTTGAAGAATAATTTATAAGCTACATTTAGCTGTTGATCTCTCAAACTGGCTTAGGGGAGAGCCAAAATATATCCTGGCAGGTAATAATTAATGCAAACCTTGACACTTCAGGCCTGGCCCTCTGTTGAGCAGGACACAGCTCACAGTTCTCTGCCAGGAAAGCCTGGCTCTGCAGGATACACACACTCCCCTTGTGGAGAAATATGCT